TTATTTATTCAGAACTGAACATGCCAGGCTCTTACTGCATGTGAATTTAGTAAACCCGGAACCTTCCTTCTTGGTGCTCCAGCCTTCATTTTTCCGTCCCAGAATGGCCCATATATATTGTGAGCTGGATCCGTAAAGAAAGCCTGTATCTGTTTCATTATACGGAACCTCCTTTTCCTTTTGTTACAGTCTACACAATCTGGGGTGTCCTTTGGGAGTTTCTCTGCTCTGAATGGAGTCAATTAGGATGCCACATATTTGAAGTGTTATTTGTATGGAGATTTATCTCAGGCGGAAGAGCGTGCCCTTACACTTTATTCTTTTGCTTCCTCAGAGCGTGTTATACAGAAAACAGCTTCAGAAAGGTAATTTCAGGGGAGGAACAATTTGACAGGAGGGATGGAGACTGATATTTCATGGTGTTTAACCGTTCTTCTGCAGAGTTTGGGACCCCATCCATGGCGTCATCTGCGGAAACAGTCCTCTAGGGGTTTTGGGTTCTTGGTCTGTCCCATGAATGACTGGGAGGGAGGTTGAAGGCTTGGATTGGGGGCGAGTGTCCCTGCAAAGAACCTGAACACCAGTCTGAGTTCCATTCCTGCTATAGACTAGTATCCTGGTTTCACCCTCAATTTTTCTTTCTCATAAATGTGTTTACGTGCCTCTTGTGGGGGAAACCTCAGAGCCTTACAATATCTTACAAAAGCCCTTAAGGAGGATCCTGCAGGTCAGTCCAGTGTCCCTGTTCTGAGTTTTCATGTATAAGGAACTTCCCTTCATTTTGTTTTCCCTCCACACAATCTGGGAGATTCTTTTGCGGCTTCTCTAGATTTGCTTGGATTTCTCCCTCGTGAAGTGTGTTAAAAAGGGCACCCGCAAGCCACCCAGTCCCTCCTCCACCTCCTGCCCAGTCTGGTCTCCCAGCAGCAGAGCAAGGCCTGAGATGCCTCCTCCTCAGTTTCAACCTCCTCAGCCATCCCCATCTCCTGAGACTTCCCACTGTTCTTATGAGATCAGCCCCATTCCATGAGGGAGGACTTCCCATTGCACGAGATCCTTTGAATTACAGTGCAAAGCTCTGCTGATTCATCCTCTGCAATTTGGTTTGTCAGCATGCTTGGAAATTCCAGTTTCAATAGCTTTTCCCCACCAGTTTACTTGGCGCTGATGTTCACCTTCCTCCAGCCCTCCAGTACAGATTCCCATTTCATTCGTGGATTCTGAATGATTGTATTCCACCATTTTCTAATATGGTTTACCATTTCTGATTTCCCCATGGAATCATGGAATAGTAGAGTTTGAAAGGATCCTAAGGGTCACCTAGTCCATGGGTAGGCAAACTAAGGCCTGGGGGCTGGATCTGGCCCAATCTCCTTCTAAATCCCGCCCGCAGACTGTCCGGGAATCAGCATGTTTTTACATGAGTAGAATGTGTCCTTTTATTTAAAATGCATCTCTGGGGTATTTGTGGGGCATAGGATTTTGTTCATTCCCCCCCCAAAAAAAAATAGTTCGGCCCCCCACAAGGTCTGAGGACAGTGGACCGGCCCCCTGCTGAAAAAGATTGCTGACTCCTGATCTAGTCCCAACCCCCTGCAATGCAGGAATCACAGCTAAACAGGTTAATTGTTTTAATTCCTTAGGCCTACAGTTGTTGTCTTTCAATTACTTGTTTTATGATGTCATCTTTTGCTTGAAACAAGGAAACAACAGATGCTATGTTATGGTGATGTTTTTGTAAAAAGATTTTCTTTGAACTATTGCAGTGTAGACCATTAAGCCTATATTTTTTGCTTCCTCAGATGTCCAGTCACTCAGAAGTCTCCAGAGAGGTAAATTTCACATGGAGACCCCAATTGACAGGAGGGGGGGCTAGTGTTTCATGGGGGGGGTCAAGAGTCTCTTCTGTACAGTTGAGAACCATCCACAGCTAGACTCTAGCCCTGCTGTTTGTGCCACAAAGGCAGAGAAGGTGGACTTGAAGGGGGAGAGAGAAACTTCCCAGAAGGATCAGGCGGAGGAGGGAAGAGCTTTCCTCCTGGCTAGAGAGAGTTGGGTTGCTTTCTATCATGTGACCTTTTCAGGCCTGGCTGCCATGTGTCCCTCTTTTTCCCAGCCATGTCTTCTATTTTCATGATCAAAATATCTTAAAATTTGTATCGGGGCAGATTTCTAAAATTTGGCAAAATGTCCCAAGGTTTTTTTGTTTGGATTTTTGTTTTACAAGAACTCATGAAAATTTTAATATTGCATTACAACAGGCATAGGCAACCTCGGCCCTCCAGATGTTTTTGGCACTACAATTCCCATAATCCCTGACCACTGGTCCTGTTAGCTAGAGATCATGGGAGTTGTAGTCCCAAAACATCTGGAAGGCCAAGGTTGCCTATGCCTGCATTAGAGTCAGATCTAAGACACCCGGTTAGGCTAATCTGCAGCAGAGAATCACAACAGAGCAGCATCTTAAGCTAGCGACATACTGTAAAAATCCCTTCTCTTGTGGCTGAACCAGAAGGACGCTGGCTCAGCTACAAGATCTTGGAGAAGGAGTCCGGGAGGGCAAGAGTTAAGACCCCCTGCCCTTAAGGAGAGTCCACATGCAGATGTTCAACAGGTTAATAAATTGTTCTGTGCACACTTACATTCAGAAAGATGTGAACATGCGCCCAAATATTTCATGTGGCAAGTGAGGGAGCTAAATGTATTATTATTATTCTTTTGTTGTTGAAAGTTAAGAACATTGTTACTAGCAATATATCACACCTACTACAGCCTACATATAGTAGGGGTATTTCAAATGAGAATCATCATAGTGATCCATGGTTAAAAATCGATGTTGGCAAATGTGTCCTCTTTCTTGCTCTTCAAAATAGGGCAGCCCTACACTTGTCTATCATGACTGTCTCAGCCCCAAACTTGGAACCTTTTGAGTTATTCCCCGCTTCCCCCAGGGAACTAGTCTTAAGGTATATATTAAATCCCAAAGAGAAGCATGGAATAAGCAGTCCTTTGTAAAATTGCCCTGCCACCTGCCTCCTCTTCCCTGGCGGCAAGGCCTAAACTTCCAAGATGGTTGGGAGGAAGGAGAGACCAAGTGGGTGAGAGAGATGGAGAGCAGGAATAAACAGGCTCCCCACTTAACACGATTTTCACTTTTGTGCACGAGGGCCCAGAACATAACTCCCGCAAAAGTGAGGGGAAGCCTATATGTGGTTTTGTGTTGTATTTTAATGCCGTGAACCACCCTCAGACCTATATATGATGGGCAGTATGCAAATGTTGATATTATTTATTATTATTATTATTATTATTATTATTATTATTATTATTATTATTAGAACAGGGGGTCTCCTCCCCCAGCCCAACCCAGAGGTCCCCAAAGGACAATTCCCACAGAGATTGTCAGAGGAAAGCAGCTTCTCTCCTCTCCTGCCTCCTCCAATTCTCCTCTCTTTCCCCTTAGATAACACAGAAGAGCAGAGTAAAAGGTTTCCTGGGTGGTTTTTCCCCTTAGAAAATGCCTGGATTTATTCTGATGAGAGTCTGCAAGGAGGCATCTCAGTCTTGCATGCAATGCAAATAAATCCCCTTGATCTGAAAGGGAATCTGGGTTTTTCGGGTGTTTCTTGGATTAGGATGTCCATCTCTCTCTCTCTGCTGACTCTGCCTAATCTTCTCTCTCCCTCATCTTCTTCCCAACAGCAAATGTCACTCTGGATCCAGACACAGCCCATCCTGAACTCATCCTGTCCAAGGATCGGAAAAGCGTGAGATTGGGAGACAAACCTCAAGCCCTGCCTGACAATCCTGAGAGATTCAGTGACTGGCCTTGTGTGTTGGGACGTGAGGGATTCACAGCAGGCAGACATTTCTGGGAAGTCACTGTGGGAAGTGGGGGATGGTGTGTTGTGGGGGTTGCCAGGAAGTCTGTGGGGAGAAAGGGCAGCTTCTCCTTTAGGCCTGAGAGAGGGATCTGGGCTGTGGGGAAGCAGAGATGGAAGTACTGGGCCTTCACCTCCTCTGTTCCCTCTCCTCTGTCCCTGAGTGAGGAGCCCAGGAGGATCCGGGTGACTCTGGACTATGAAGGGGGACGTGTGTCTTTCTCTGACGCTGACTCAGGAGCCGAACTCTACACGTTCTCAGGAGCCTCATTCTCTGGAGAGACCCTCCTCCCTTTCTTTTATCTGAGGGGAAATGAAACCCCCCTCAGTATCTCCTGAGGAGACTAAATCTGCCTCTCAGGCCCAGCAGGAGTTTCTCTCCAGACCAGAGCGATTGATATAAAAAAGATTTACCCACCGAAAGAACATTGGGCGATTTTTCAGGATGCATAAAAGTCAAAATCAGCAGAAATAACAAAACAAAAATGGGTTGCTGTTGCTTTGCATTTTCCTTCCTTTCCCCAGAATTCCCTCTGCAGCTTACTTCTTAAAGAGACAGTCACACTTTTAACAGTCCCAATAAATCATATTTTCCTCACCTTCAGTCTTGTTTTTCTTTTGAGATGTCTGCTTTGGCAGAGCACAAGACTCCTAATGTCAAGGTTGTGGGTTAGAGCCCCAGATTGAGCAAAAGTTTCCTGCACTGCAGGGGGTGGGACTAGATGACCCTCAGGATCCCTCGCAACCCTGCAATTCTAGGAAACCTTCCTCTCCCCACAATATCTTGTACAGCTGTGAAAATGCATGCATAATTGGATTAATAGAGGACTAAAAGATGAACCCCTTCCCCCACATCAGGCAGGATAGCTCCTTACTCTGGAGACCTCAGATGGGAAGAAAATAAAAAAGAAATTGAACAGGGCGTCAGCTTCAGATGCCCTCTTCAAATACAGCCTCCCCATCTCCACACGTTGCCAGAAATAAAGCTCATTGCATTGAGTGGGGCTTCGGCCCAGTTATATGTGTTTAGGGTTGATGCATTAATGTTCCGTATTTACAGGCTGGATTCTGTCTATCAGGGGCATCAAATGGGGTGTCCTCTTGATAGTGCTGGACTCCAACTCCCCTCTGACCCATCCAGCATGGCCAGGGGACAGAGAGGATGGGAGTTGCAGTCCGGCAGCTTCCGGAAGGGGCCCCATGGGCTGTGCTGCCCTATACATTACGCAGGGCACCTTCCCCGTGTCCCTCAGCCCCACCCCAAATGCACAATGCTCCCCCAAGGAGGGTCTTTTCAGCACCAGCTGCATCTGATTTCTCTCCTGGGATACTAAGAGCTAGAACAACAAATGCCTGTGGAATTGACCCCTCATATATCAGGCCGGACTCTCCCTGGCTCCACTATCAGGGCCGCCGACTTCTGACCGGTGCAGCCTGATATCCTTTTTGTGCATTTCCCATGGGGTGGTGGCAGATGTCAAAATAAAGACACCTTTGCCGCCCCCCAGCTGCCTGAGGGCCACCTTCCCTTGCTCCACCCCCTATATGATGTTGGTGATGTTTGTGTGTCATCATAAGTTTCCCTGTGAGTTTCCACTCACCCCATGGAAGGACACAAAAGTGTCCCATTTGGTCCAGCGCCCAAGAGGGGCCACCCAGACGCCCGTGGGACACCTGCAAGGGGGACCAGAGAGCAAAACCAGCCTCCCTCCCCTCCTTGCAGTTTCCAGCACCTGAGATTTAGAAGCCTTCTGCCTCTGGACTGTGGAGGCAGAGCAGAGCCATTGTGCTTCACAGCCTAGTGCTCCATGAATTTGTCCCCAGCTCAATGGGTGGAGCATGATAGCCTTAATCTAAGGGTCACTGGCTTGAGCACCACGTTGGGCAAAAGATTCCTGCACTGCAGAGATCTGGACTAGGTGACCCTGGTTGTACCGTTCAACTCTGCAATTCCATGATTTTAAGTTGGCTGCCATCTCTGCCTCCAGTGGCAGTGAGTTCCATGGTTCATTTACACGCTCCACAACAAAATGCTTTTTTCTGTCCTGGATCTCCCAACATTCAGCTTTGTTTGGGGGCCACAACTTCTATGAGAATCTGCAATGTGGATATAATGTGTCTCTGTCTCCCTGCCTCCATCCATCGTGGGGACCAGAGCAGTGGGTGGGCAGTTTTGTTTGTCCCCTCCTGGGGCAGGAAGCCTCAACAGAGAACTTTCTTGAATTAACAACAACAACTGGCCATCCGCCTATGTCTTGTGACATAGATAAGGTGTGTGTTCTCCACTGCAAATCAGGTTGTAACCAACATTTCTCCCTCTTTTTTTCTGTGGAATGTGGCACTTTTCAAGAATATTAGCTGGACGTATTCCCTAAATGAATTATCTGGTGTCCAATTAATCCCTTCTTCTGAATGAAGCATTTTCCGCACTCGGGGCATTCATAAGGTTTCTCCTCCGCGTGGGTCCTTTGGTGTTTGATCAGCGTATCTCACGGAGAAGTGTTTTTCCTGCACTCAGGGCATTTGTGAGGCTTCTCTCCTGTGTGGATGTTCTGATGGTCAATCAACCTACAAGGATGATGGAAACTTGTCCCACACTCGGTGGGGTTTCTCCCCTGTGTGTGTCTTCCAATGTTCAATTAAGTTGCAAGGGTGGTTGAAGTTTCTCCCATAATTATGACACTTGTCCGGCTTCTCCCCTGTGTGGGTTCTCCGGTGTTTGAGTAACGTATCTCTCCCGGAAAAGCTTTTCCCGCAGTCCTGGAATTCGTGAGGCCTCTCTCCCGTGTGGATTTGCAGGTGACTCACCAAATTGGTCCTCTGGCTGAAGCTTTCCCCACAGTGGGACCACTTGTGTGGTTTCTCTTCGGTGTGGACCCTTTGTTGCTGCATCAGCGTTGCTCTGTAACTGAACCTCTTCTCACACTTGGGACACTCGTATTGCTTCTCTTCCATGAGGCCTCTCTGATGGCTCACCCAGATCTCTCACTGGGGAAAGGGTTTCTCGCCCTCAGACCATTCGTACGCTTCCTCTCCCATGTGCATCCCCTGCTGCTCAGCCAGGACGGATCCTCGCTGGAAGCTCTCCCCACACATGGAGCATTCATGAGGATGTTCTTCGGCATTCAGCCTCCCCAGACGCAAACTGTGCTGGCCGTTCCTCCCAGGATTTGAAGAGAAGGGCTTTTCTGCTCCAAAGTGCACTGGGCTTTCACTAAAGGGAACTGGACTTCTGGGTGATGGCTGCGTTCATTTGCTCCCTGGTGTCCTTTGGACTCACCCTTTTGCTCTGCAATCTCAGCTAACAAAGGAATGTTCCTTAGGGATATTCCCTCTGGCACAGCTTCCCTTGGTGGGAAATCTCCGTCTTGATCTCTCTCCTTTTACCTGCAGGTGAAACCAAAAACATTTTTTAAACATTATGTGTGTGGGAAACCCCTAAGCAGGACCTGGGAACAAGAGCCCCTCCTGGAGGCTCCAGCAGCTGCTATTCAGGAGGATTCCTGCTTCCAGCCAGAGGCAGAGCATATAACCATCCAAAGTCTTCAGGTAAAGGTAAAGGGACCCCTGACCATTAGGTCCAGTCATGGCCGACTCTGGGGTTGAGGCGCTCATCTCACTTTGTTGGCCGAGGGAGCCGACATGCAGCTTCTGGGTCATGTGGCCAGCATGACTAAGCCGCTTCTGGCCAACCAGAGCAGCGCACGGAAATGCCGTTTACCTTCCCGCCAGAGCGGTACCTATTTATCTACTTGCACTTTAGTGTGCTTTTGAACTGCTAGGTTGGCAGGAGCAGGGACTGAGCAACGGGAGCTCACCCCATTGCAGGGATTCGAACTGCCAACCTTCTGATCGGCAAGCCCTAGACCCTGTGGTTTAACCCACAGCACCACCCGCATCCCCTACAAAATCTTATCCTCCAGGAATTGTATCTAATCCCCTGTTAAAGCCCTCCAGGTTTTTCAGCCATTGGAAGGCACCACACTTTATTAGGAATATAGGAAGACTTTACACTGTGTAGTAATATCGATTAATAATAATAGCCAAGTCGTACCAGGCATTCATATGTAGGGAAGGAACGCCATAACTGGGCTGCCACCATTCAGATGGTGCCTTCTGCCAGGTCCATCGAGGTCAGTCTTGCCTCCACTGACTGGCAGTGGCTCTGCAAGGTCTTCCCAACCATACCTGCAGATGTCCTGGCCAGGGATGATGGGAGCTGTAGTCTTCAGCAAACAGAGGGCAGCAGGTTGGCAAGGCTGAAAGTGTCTGTTCCAATCTGAAGTTCTTTGCCAGCATGCTAAAAACGGATTAAATTCAAAATTAGCAACCAGACTTTTAGTTCTCTTCACGGAATCAAGTCCCGCTTCCTAAATCAGAACTCCTGTCCATTTAGGGCAGAGGCAGATTTTCTCCAATTCAAAAATGACAAGGAAGCCTATGAATGAAAAATGTTGCAGTATGAATACCACAACTTACTAGGTACGTGTGTGTTGGTGTGTAAGCAAAAGCATGGGAAACAATCCAGAAGCATTCGCTGCTACTTGAGAAAACATTCAGCAATTGCAAAGACCTAGAGACATGTTTAAAAAATAAAAAAAAATCACATGATCACTGAGTCATTTCCAGGAAGGGGAAACTCCCAGTAGCTGAAATCTGAGAAAACGAAACTTAACTCGGGTTTTGGCGGGAGGGAGCCATGGCTGCTGCAGGGGGTCACATCCAGAATCTCCGTGATGAATCCACTTGCTCCATCTGCCTGGATTACTTCAAGGATCCAGTGACCATCCCAGAGTGTGGGCACAACTTCTGCCGATCCTGCCTGGTCCTGTTCTGGGGGGAATCGGAGGCGGAGGCTTCCTGCCCCCAGTGCAGAGAAAGAGTCCAGAGAAGGAGCCTCGTCTCCAACCGGCAACTGGCTAATGTGGCGGAAATAGTGAAGAATCTCAGCCTTCAAGAGGGAAAGGAGGAAGGAGGGAAAGGAGGAGTCTGCGAGGATCACCAGGAGCCCCTGAAGTTCTTCTGCAAAGTCCACGAAGCCCCCATCTGCGTGGTGTGTGACAAATCGAAGGAACATGAAAATCACAAGGTGATTCCTCTGAAAGAGGCTTTGGAGGAATACAAGGTAGGAGATCCCTGGATCTGGAGGGGGAGAAATAAATAGCTGTGGATTCTTCTTGGGAGGTTTTCTTTTTACTTCTCAGGTCCAAAGTAGACATGGCATTGATTGGTCGTTGTTTATCGCCTTGGAAGCAGCCCAGGGGAAGCCTGAGGGCTCCTGGGGTGGCTGGAGGGGGGAGTTGAAGTCTTTCTCTCTGCCAGGGCGACAAGGGGATCTTGAAATACTCACAGCAGCTTCAAAGATTTGAACTGGGACCTTGGCAGGGAGAGAAAGGGTTAACCACATCCACTGCAATGATGTTTCAGCAGGGGGGGTGCTGAGTATCTCCTCCCACCCCAAATTTTGAGACGCTCTGGTCTATCCCTGCATCTCTCGCCTCTTGGGCTGACCTCACTATCTCTTTGAGGCTAGACTGATACATCCCAGGTTGGATCCTGCCTTATCTTCCTCCTCCTCTTACCAGTTCTCCCTGAGACCTCAAGGTGAGAAGTCAGGCTGGGGACCGCCAAGGAAAGGAGAGGAGGCTGAGAGATCTCTCCACAAGGGAGGGTGTTTGAGAAAAGGTGAGGGGCTGCCAGCTCTGCAGGCAAGGGGGGGGGACCTAACTGGGATCCTGAGCCCCACAGGGTAGTTGATCCATGGAGCCGTGGACCCAAAAAGGCTGAAAACCTCTGTACAGTGGTGCCTCGCAAGACGAAATTAATTCGTTCCGCGAGTTTTGTCGTCTTGTGATTTTTTTCGTCTTGCAAAGCACGGTGTCGGAAAAGTTTTGGAAAAGCTTCAAAAATAACCAAAGTCTTCAAAAACCTCAAAAAAGGCTACCACACCGCGTTCTATGAGTTGCTCCTCGAAGTCAAGTCGCAACTGTATTAACGGTTTTAAGAAAAAGGAAACAAACTTGCAAGGTGTTTCCGTCTTGCGAAGCAAGCCCATAGGGAAAATCGTCTTGCGAAGCAACTAAAAAAACCAAAAACCCTTTCGTTTTGCGAGTTTTCCGTTTTGCGAGGCATTCGTCTTGCGAGGTACCACTGTGCTTTTATTTCCACCAGTAAATTACTTTGCTATTCTAGCAAGGCCACTGGGCGCAAGAAGCCATTGTGATTTTAATTTCTCTGTGTGTCTCAATCAAAGCTGAATTTTTCCTTTTGTCTTTAGGGAGAGATCTGTCGCCACCTGGAGATTCTGAGGAAAGAGAGAGAGGAAATTCTGGCCTATCAAGCAGATCTGGACAAGGAAAGCAAAGACCTCCTTGTAAGTGTCTCTGTTGTTACCAGACAGGGAACAAGCACTTGAGACCTCCAGGTATAGGGCAGTGTATAAATTAAATAAAGAAGAAGAAGAAGAAGAAGAAGAAGAAGAAGAAGAAGAAGAAGAAGAATTGAGTCAGGACTGAGAAGTGATGGGGAAATCTGCCTGTTTCAGCTTCTCCTCATTTTTCATATCAGTCTGTTTATTAATTTATTGTTCTGAAAATGAATCAGATGTTAGGGTAGCTACCTCCTTGTATAAATATTTTGATCTGTATTTTACCCTCATAAATACATTTTTTGTGAATATTACCTGGCTGGGTCAAGCTTGAAAATATCAGAATTCTAAAGCTCTGTTTTGGTCTCCATATTTTTTCAGCAATAGCGAATTAGGTAAGTTCACCTTTGAATGCCGCTAAATTGAGTTTATTTCCCCTTATCGTTTATTATGAGAATAGCAGTCAAGAAGAAGCCTGAGGACTTGTGAGCTGAAAGGGTGGAAGCAAATTAATCCAAATCCTGATTTACCATAAATATTACTAAAGAACTGAATTCTAAATGTGCTCTCTTGTTCATTTTTAGGAAACTCAGGCTTTTTAAAACCTTTAAAGAAAACAGGGGAGCTCTGGGGATGAACTCTGCACTTTGTTCTCCTCTGTTTCTGTTACTTACTACACCTAAATGGCCCCAGTCTAAACTGAGGGGTGTTTTATGTCCCTGGATGTGAACTCTGGTTATGCCATGCCCCAAAACATGCAGGGAACATCCATGGCTAGGAAAAAAGAGCTCCTTCCTTTAGGCTGTATCCGTCTGCAAAATAGAAGTCAACAGAAGCGGCAATGGGGAGGGCCTCCCCTCAAAATAAAGGTTTACTTCTTTAGCCACTGGAGGTTTCATGTCTATGAAAAATCAGAAGTGTCCACCCTGTTTAATTCTCACAATTTTGTTTCTCCTGTTTTGAGGCTAAGGACCAAACACACTCAGACCTCCTCTTTTCTTGCAGAAATTAACAGAAACGGAGAGGCTGAAGATTGTGGAGAAGTTCAGAGAACTGCGCCAGTTCCTGGAAGAAGAAGAAAAAGGTCTGCTGAATCATATGGAAGAGGTGGAGAAGGAGATTGCAGGGAGAAGGGATGAGCAGCTGGCCAGACTCTCCAGGAAACTCTCCTCTCTTGAGAGGATCATCCAGGAGATGGAGGAGAAGCGTCAGCAGCCAGCGAGTGAACTCCTGCAGGTAAGACGGTGGCAGGAACAGCCCAAGGCTCCAGGAAAAGGCTGCCTCCAATCCTTCATGTGTCTCTTTCATGTATACAAGAAGTGCAGGGGTTCAGATGATGGAGCCTCTAGTCAGGTTTGTAATGGACAGGAAGACCCAAGAGCCCTGGGTCTCTTCTGTGTTCTTGATGGAACAGGAGGTGGTTTTCTGCTCTTTGCTGATGATTTGTCACCGAATGCCTTCCTTCTTGGCAATGCTGCCTTCCTGCCCTGGGCTGGGCTTCAGCGAGGATTCAGGCCTCCTTCTGACATGAGGCAGTCTCTTGACCAAGCTTCTTTTCCACTTCCCTCCACAACTTCTGGGTTGATCCCCTTCACAATGGATACAGAGCGGCCCAAAATGGTGCTCAGTCACAGTGACCAAAGAGTAAGACTCATCCAGACTGCTGCTTGTCCCACCCCTTTCCTCCAGGAAAATCTGCTCTTTACTGCTGAATTAGAGCAAACATCAGCCAGGTTTTCTCCGGATTGACGTTTGCTTAGATGTTGAACTAAGGAGCCGGTTTTCACTGAGGGAAAGCGGCAGGGCAAAGGCAAAACCACTTGGACCCGTGTTTTCTAGACACAGGAAAAGCAGAAGTGTGGATGAGCCCAAAGAAACACGGAGCTGTTTTATTACCCCTTTGGAGGCATTTTATGCTGCAGGTGCTTTTTTGTTTCCAGTTGGAAAGTAGAATTTGAAATTTGGGGACTTCTGTGGAGGACAATTTGGGACAGTTCCCCGGTAGGATTACCTTGTAGGCTTACTTACGTCTGAATTGCACAGTGCAAACGGGATTAAAGTTAATAAATTATAATCTAAGACAAGAGATTCGGTGCAATCTTCTCCTGAACCCACAAATGTTAAATTTCCCTAAAATGCTGGTGGATTTTCATAAGGATTCTTAAAAAATAATTGTAAACAGATGTGGAAATGTGGAGAAATTGATACTGGAAAAATTATTAATTTCAGATTGGAGAAATAAAAGCTGTGAGAAACCAAAACTTATTGATTCCACCATCCCTGCCCACAACCTTGCCATGTGCCAGGCAGACTGACATTCAAGGGCCAGGGTCTGAGGGGGTCTTCCTAGTGTGGCCTGTGGTGTACAGTGAATTCCCTCCTCTTTTTCCCTCTAGGATGTGAGAAGGACCTTGCAGAGGTAAGTGGATCTGGCTCATTTCCATTAGCATCACTCTTTGAAGCTGAGATGCAAGAACCTCAGACATGGCCCTCCAGGGGCTGCAGGGGGGAGACTGGAGGACTCACTCCCTGAGGCATCTCACAGGTAAAAGCAGGGCCCCCTCTTCTGAACTTGTAGCCCCTCAATTCTCCCTCCAAGGTTCAAGGTCAACTGCCTCCTTCCTCCCTCCCCACATCACTTCACACAAGGATGGGGCTCTTTTCTTTCTCTTCCACCTTCCGTTCATTGACTTTGGTAATTTCAAACATGTAGAATAGAAAGTGCCAAAGATCCCTGGGAACAGCTTAGGACGTACCAGTATCTTTCCATGTCCCACTGGAAGCCCCCCAACTCTGGTAACTCAGCCCCTTTGTGGCACTGAGGGAGGGAAGGTCTGTTGGTGTAGAATGGGTTGGCTCTTTTTCTTGGGAGCGTTTCCAGCGTGAGAGGCTGAAGGTGGTCTTGAGTGGGGGGTGAAAGTCAGGTTGTTTGATGCCTCTGGAGGGAGAGTCCCATGGGGCATGGGGTTGTGTCCTTCCTGTGTGAGAGAGGGGGTGCAGGGAGGGTGGAGGTTGTTCTCCTTGACCGCTTGGCAGCTTTTGACATCACTAACTAGCCAGCATGGTGTAGTGGTTAAGAGCGGTGGACTCGTAATCTGGGGAACCAGGTTCGCGTCTCAGCTCCTCCACATGCAGCTGCTGGGTGACCTTGGGCCAGTCACACTTCTCTGAAGTCTCTCAGCCCCACTCACCTCACAGAGTGTTTGTTGTGGGGGAGGAAGGGAAAGGAGAATATTAGCCACTTTGAGACTCCTTAGGGTCATGATAAAGCGGGATATCAAATCCAAACAACTCCTCCTCCTCCTCCTCCTCCTCTTCTTCTTCTTCTTCTTCTTCTTCTTCTTCTTCTTCTTCTCCTTCTTCTTCTTCTTCTTCTTCTTCTTCTTCTTCTTCTTCTTCTTCTTCTTCTTCTTCTTCTTCTTCTTCTGGAGAGGCTCAGGGAGGGAGGGATTGCAGGCACTCCATTTCAGGGGTTTGGCCCTTACATCCTGGGACCTTCCCAGAAAGTTGTTATGGGGCAGCAGAGTTTGAAGCCATGGGAGCCCTCCGGTGATGTCGCACAGGTTTGCCTCTTGTCCCTTGGGCTGTTTATCATCCTTACGAAGCCATTGGCCGGGGCTTGGAGGTGGGTGTCAACAGATCATGTTGAATTACCTGTTGGGAAATAAACTTCAACTTTGTTCATGTTATTGAGATCTCCTGCAATAATTAGGGAGACGGTGCCACAATGGGGCCATACATTGTTTTTCTTTTCACCAGGTATGAGAAAAGAGAGAGTCCAGAGAACCCACTGCCTTTCCCTCTAGAACTGAGGAACAGGATCTTGGAATCCTGTGATCTAAATCACCTTGTGGAGGATACAATGAAACAATGGAAAGGTAATTAAAATTGGCTGCCAGGATTTCACACTGGGATTTCTATTATTTCTTCAGAACTGAGCATGCCAGGCTCTTACTGCATGGAATTGAGTAACTCCAGGATACCTTCCTTCTTGGTGCTCCAGCCTTCATTTCCTGTCCCCCAGAATGGCCCATGTATATTGTGACGCTGGATCCTGTAAAGAAAGCCTGAACCAGAGCGTATCTGTTTTCAATTATACGGAACCTCCTTTTCCTTTTGGTTACCAGTCTACACAATCTGGGGTGGTCCTTTGGGAGGTTCTCCTGCTCTGAATGGAGTCAGTTTAAGGATGCCACATTATGAAGTGTTACTTTTGTATGGAGATTTATCTCAGGCGGAAGAGCGTTGCCCTTACACTTGATATCTTTTTGCTTCCTCAGACGCTGTGTTATACAGAAAACAGCTTCAGAAAGGTAAATTTCCAGGGGAGGAACAATTTGACAGGAGGGATGGAGACTGATATTTCATGGTGTTAAACCGTCTGTTCTGCAGACTTTGGGACCCCCATCAATGGCGTCACTCTGGGAAACAGTCCTCTAGTGGTGTTTGGGTTCTTGGTCTGTCCATGAATGAACTGGGAGGGAGGTTGAAGGCTTGGATTGGGGGCAGAGATTGTCCCTGCAAAGAACCTGAACACCAGTCTGAGTTCCATTCCTGCCTATAGACTAGTATCCTGGTTTCACCCTCAATTTCTTTCCTAAAATCTGTATGCTGCTTGTTTGTATGGAAAATCCTCAGAGCCTTACAATATCTTACAAAAGCCCTTAAGGAGGATCCTGCAGGGTCAGTCCAGTGTCCCTGTTTTCGAGTTCTCATGTATAGGGAACTTCCCTTCCATTTTGTTTTCCCTCCACACAATCTGGAGAGGTTCTTTTGCGGCTTCTCTAGATTTGCTTGCATTTCCCCCTCGTGAAGTGTGTTAAAAAGGGCACCCGCAAGCACCCAGTCCCTCCTCCACCTCCTGCCCAGTCTGGTCTCCCAGCAGCAGAGCAAGGCCTGAGCTGCCTCCTCCTCAGTTTCAACCTCCTCAGCCATCCCCATCTCCTGAGACTTCCCACTGTTCTTATGAGATCAGCCCCATTCCATGAGAGACGACTTCCCATTGCACGAGACCCTTGGAATTACAGGGTAAAGCTCTGCTGATTCATCCTCTGCAGTTTGGTTTGTCAGCATGCTTGGGAAATTCTGGTTTCAACAGCTTTCCCCCACCAGTTTTACTTGGTGCAGATGTTAACCTTCCTCCAGCCATTCAGTGCAGATTCCCATTTCATTTGTGGATTTTGAATGGTTGTATTGTGCCATTTTATAGCATGGTTTACCATTTCTGATTTCCCCATGGAATCATGGAATAGTAGAGTTTGAAAGGATCCCAAGGGTCATCTAGTCCATGGGTAGGCAAACTAAGGCCTGGGGACTGGATCCGGCCCAATCTTCTTCTAAATCGTGCCCGCAGACTGTCCAGGAATCAGCTTGTTTTTACATGAGTAGAATGTGTCCTTTTATTTAAAATGCATCTCTGGGTTATTTGTGGGCATAGGATTTTGTTCATTTTTTCCCCAAAATACAGTGGTACCTTGGGGTACAACACTTCAGGTTACAGATGCTTCAGGTTACAGACTCCGCTAACCCAGAAATATTACCTCGGGTTAATAACTTTGCTTCAGGATGAGAACAGAAAATTGTGCTTCGGTGGCGCGGCAGCAGCGGGAGGCCCCATTAGCTAAAGTGGGGCTTCAGGTTAAGAACAGTTTCAGGTTAAGAACGGACCTCCAGAACGAATTAAGTACTTAACCCGACGTACCACTGTATAGTCCGCCCCCCCAAGGTCTGAGGGACAGTGGACCGGCCCCCTGCTGAAAAAGTTTGCTGACCCTTGATCTAGTCTAACCCTTGCAATGCAGGAATCACAGCTAAACACATTAGTTGTTTTAATTCCTTAGGCCTACAGTTGTTGTCTTTCAATTACTTGTTTTATGATGTCATCTTTTGCTTGAAATAAGGAAACAACAGATGCTATGTTATGGTGATGTTTTGTAAAAAGATTTTCTTTGAACTATTGCAGTGTAGACCATTAAGCCTTTCTTTTTCTTCCTCAGATGTTCAGTCACTCAGAAGTCTCCAGAGAGGTAAATTTCACATGGAGACCCCAGTTCACGGGGGGACGGGGGACAGGACTAGTGTTTCATGGGGGTCAAGAGTCTCTTCTGTATGTTGAGAACCATCCACAGCTAGACTCTAGCCCTGCTGTTTGTACAGTGGT